CGGAGTGATAAAAAATTGCATGAAATTTTAAATTACTCCAAAACCTGAATGGTTAATCTTATGATAAATGGTTTTTCCGAATATTTAAAGAGTATCACTCTATATAAAACTATAGGGAATTATAGGTACTACGCAGCGGAATAAACATGAATCATATCCATAAAGCTCCTAACCAAAGATCTCATGCATAACACATAAAGAGTAAGAATTATACCTTTGAAGCGTGATTCCACTAGTAATCGAGCAAGAACAAGAGAGACAAAGAACCTCAAATGTGATACCTCTACTTGGTCCACAGGCACGGATTAAGACCTCCACTAATGCTAGTTAGTCGCGATCGAACTCTTTAATCGACTTTCTACGGAGAAGCATGAACAACGAACTAGTCACGAACCACCACGAACCACCACGAACGCCACTAGGAGTGGCCGACCGTAAGTCCAAAAGGGGGAGAGGGGTGCCGTGAGAGAGAGAGAGAGAGGTTAGGGTTTTTGGGATTTGGTTGCCTTGATTCACAATTCACTGAAAGTTAATTGTGACTTCTCTTTTCAACCCTAGGCATGGATCTTATTTATAGATCACATCTGTAAATAAGAGTCCATGACAAAGCCCAATTCCTAATCCCAATCAAACTACACTAGCCCAATCCTATTCATGATTAGTTAAATGTTCATAAGGCCCATTTATGGGTCTCTGACTTGCTTAACCCAATACCTTTGTGTGTGACCTCATAGGATCCATTCTAGCAGGCTTTGGACTATTTTACTAGCCCAAAGATCATCTCTCATAGTCTAGCAACAGATGATGACGCCCCAAGAGAATGTACTTATTATCTCCATAATAGTGATCCTTGATATATCTAGTAATTGCACTTATCGAAGACACAACTCCTTCAATCTCCCACTTATCTCAGACAAGTGTGCAATATTCAAATTCCTTAAGTCAATTTGTTTCGATTTGATAATATGATTGCATCTCATGTCGTGATCATATTAGTCTACAAATCTTTTCTTGAAAAACTGAGTGAGATTCACAGAACAAATGATTACTATGTAATGCATTTGAGCACGGTCATGCATTTTTCTGAATTCTCCCTCTTCAAGAGGCCAAGACACATTCCTAATTAAATAGGTAGACTCAATCCAATCTTGTGGCAACCAAAGCTCCCACTCGACTTTTGAAGTAACCGGGAAACACCCTTTATAATCTCCAATTACGGGCAGACGTTTGAGTGTACCACAACCATAACATCCATTGAATAAAATCAATGTTCCACTCATGTCAAAGGAATCCACTAATATATCCGGAAGCTCTATACTTGAACTTCAAAGTAGGTCTATAGTTCGATCATGCATCATTCATGCATATCCATGTGTTTGACCGAGCTTCACTACGCTCCTATAGCCCATGAAACTGCGCTATCCAATCAATCTTACATGCTAGTCCATTAATTAAAATCATTTATGTCCAGTTTAATGATTCCGAACTAGGAACTTCAATAATTTATGAATTTAGTTCACCTGTGGGGTTTCATTCACCAGGTCATCAACCTGATGAGCCCATCAATTCATAATTATTTTGGACATTTTATTTAATCTTGAAACCACGATTAAATAAGATTAAAACTTTGGTTCAATTGATAAACATAATTCTGCAAATGAATGTAATACACATGTAACTTGTTTTTCCCCCAAAACAAATACAACTTCTAATTACATCATTTGCCTCAATCCAATTTCATTAGCATGTTTCTCATGCTTTGGAAATGGAAGGGGTTTAGTGAGTAGAGTTCATGAGACATTCTCATAAACATGAATTTTGCAATTTCTAAATTTTAATAATATTCATCTCCATACACTAAGAATCTTCTTTAATCCCTTTACTAGGAATTTTGGAATTTCTAATTTGTATTCCAACATCACATTGGATTTCAATTGAAACCTATTATCACTTGTTCTAAAAACACCTAAATCAAATAGACGAGTATAGTCCATGGCATGCATGATGCATCCTTTGCGAATTGCATAAGGATCATCACTCAAAACCTTAGTTTCATCAACCTTTCTCAAAGTATTGAATCATTAAGCAATGTGCCATGTTACATGGGATTGAAACTCCTTTAGATATAATGTTTAACCTTATAAGAATCTTATCAATATAAGCTTCTTAACCAAACTCAAACATCCTTCGAGACCTTTCACTATAGATCTTGAATCCTAAATGTACTCATCATCCTCTTCAAGGTTTTTCATACAAAATTCACTACCCACCACTTGACTCTTCAAGCAATGAATAATTTTCTCTTTATACTAGACTAAGAAGACTTCATAGCTCCCACTAAACATCTTGTACACACAAGACCTTTTCTTCATTTTACGAGAACATCAAACAATTTGATTAACTCAAAAAATTAAGAAAATTAATCAACTCCATGATGCTAACTTCAATCCATTAAAGGATCTTTTATGCATCTTTAGGATTATTGGATTTTCAAACTTTTGATTGTATCATATACAAATCTTATTTCATGAACAATTTCAAGAAAGCGTTTTGAAATCCATACACCAAATCTTATAAGGTAGAAATCACTAAAATATCTTTAGTAGATCTTTGCAACATGACTAATGTAAAGGTTTCATCGTAATCATAGTCATACTATGAAATTGTTGAATCCATTAACAAGTCTTTGCTTAGTTAGAAAACATTTTTCTTTCTTGTCTGTTTTTCTTATAATGGGTCTCACCTAATTAGGAAAATTAATCAAGTGTCATACACTTTCTTACAGACTTAGAATCTATTTCAGATGTTGGTTTTTAAACCACTTGGAGTTATAACTTGTCAAATCATCTTTGTTACTTGCATAATCATCATGTTCCAAAATAAATATTTTAGAACTCTTAGTCAATATGAAATCATATTTCTTTGGCTAAGTTTTACATATGCTAGTCATCATTGTGGGTTTTTATGCAACAATTGAAACTCATACAACAACTTTGTTTAGCTTTCAATGAGAAACGACAATAGAGGATTGCACTTGGAATGTACTACCTTCGACACATGGTTATTATTCCCATTACACTTAATGAGACCACGCGTTGTCATTTGTAACATGAGGTGAATCATGCTCATATTGTTGCTTTGATTCGATTACTTCTCAAATTTCTTCAAGATTTTCGAAATCACTTTTCTTGAACTCTTTCAACGCTCTCAAACATTTCGAGATTCTTATACTCCCACTTGCCTTTTGAGGAGGCACATTTAGCATAGGGTGAACCAACCATGGTTTGAACCATGTTTGTTTGTTGCTTTTCTCGAACTCTTTAAAGATTTACACTACTCCCACTTGACCTTTTGGAACAATTTCCATAAGGGAACCTACTTGAGCAACAAACATTTTGTGCTAAGTATGATTTGTGTAGTAGTACCCTGTGCTCTGTAGAACGTGCATCAAATAATTTAATACATCTCTTATTCCTTGCTTTGTAGAAAGACTTAATAAGAACTTTTCTTATCCATATCACATATGAAACCTTTGCTACATTTTGATTTGACCTATGTTTCTTTGTTTAGTTTTGTAGCTTATCTTAAAAGTATATCCCTTGAACAATGGTTGGAAGATAGGTAATTTTCATCCATTATCAAAATATATCTTATATATATTGATAGCTCCCTTCATAAACACTTTATAAGGTTTTCTTTCGGAGTTTGTTGTAAAACGATTTCACAACTCTTAGATGTTCATCAAGGTCTTGGCTTAAATTTTCATTATTACGATCATATCGCAATATTTTGAATGTGTTTCCAAGTATATGTATTGACTTAAATTTTCACAATTACAATCATATTGTAATGTAATCATTATCTTGTCAAGTTGATTCTGAACTTCATACTGAACATTTTTGAACTTTTCAAAATTTTCATTCTTATGCTTTAACTAAGCATAAGTAGTGATCGTATCACAAATGAAGTTTCATTGTCCATCTCTAGCCTTTGAACCTTTGGTTTTCTTACATCGATATGTATTCGACCTCGAGTTTGCATCATCATTTCTCTAAATGGTGACTTTGTCAATAATTTCAAATTAGAATGATATTTACATACATCAATGGATTCATAATCTAATGATATTGAAAGTCCATCCCTTTGGATCTTCCGCACGAAATGTTCATTTTCATTCGAATTAATTGACATTTTAGAGACAATTTATATATATATAGAAATGGTTTAATTATTTCTACCATATAGAACTTTGAACCTATTTAGCAATCTCAAAACACATTATGACTCAATGAAGCATAGAATAACATTTATTCCACGTTTTTGAATCTTCGATGCTTAGTCATTACTAACATTGAATGGTGTTTTGATAATGGCAAGAATGAATAACATTTATTTAATTCTAGCCAATAACAAGGTAAGGTGAAATATAGGTTCTACTTGTAAAGTTGCAACTTTTGCTTCCAGACTTGTAGATTCAACTTGTGAAGTAGCAACATTTGCTTCTAAACTTGTAGATTTATTTCTCCTTTAGCCATAACTTCTTCCTTTAGTTCAACCACATTGTGCAATGAGTGATCTAAACAAAACATCATATGTCCAAGAAGTAGCAATATGCTAAATCAATTTCTATAATACACTTCTTAAATTTCGAACATTTCCATTCTTTTACCTTCCAACTATATGAGGTAGTTTCTAACACTAGACGAAAATATGAATTGGCCACCGGTTCAAAACCCCCCTGTGCCACCGGTTTTGAACCGGTGGCCATTTGGGGGGTGGCAATAATCTTATTAAAAAGCCACCGGTACAAAACCGGTGGCAAAAACAAATATTGCCACCGGTTAACCAGTGGCAATAATGCTTCCCGCAATTTTTTTTAATGGTATTAACAAGTATTGACACCGGTTAACCGGTGGCAATAATGCCCATAAAAAACAATTTTTTTTTTTTTTGCATTTATTTCACTTAAATTGTAGTAGAAACTATATATATATGTAAAATACATAAAAACACATATATATTCATCAGTATCTAGTAATTGTACACTTTTTAAGAGTGAAAAAACTAAATTAATAACTACAACTAAATTACTCATACAACAATTCCAATTTAAAAGAACTAAATTAATCAAATTACACAAAACTAAAATTCCAACATTAAAATCAAAAAAAAAAATTACAATAAAAAACCAAAAAAAATTACAACATTAAAATTAAAAAATAACCCATATAACACCTAAATCAATAACCCTGCATCTTTATTCTTCGATTTAACATCTACATCTAAATCAATATACCTGCATCAAACAAAAAAAAATCGATTAAATAAAATAAATAAGCTGCGAAATAAAAATAAAAACCAGAACAGTATGCATGGTACCCATAAATCGATTTAAATCAGTAAATAATCCCAGAAAAAACACACAAAAATATAAACAAAACCCAAAAATTAAACAAAAACCCAGAAAAATAACCCAGAAAACTAAAACCCAGAAAAAAAGAAAAAAAACCCAGAAAAAAATTAAACAAAATTCCCAAAAATTAGTGAAAACCCGAGAATTAAATCGAACTAAAAAAAAATCGAATTGATTTTCAAAACGAGAATGAAAAACAAAATGAGAATTAAATCGAACTCAAAAAAACAAATTGATTTTCACGAACTCAAAAAAAAAACCCCAGAATTAAATCGAATGAACCCAGAAGGAGTTCGACTTAGAATCGATTAAAATCAATTAAAAATCGAATTAAAATCGATGAAAACACTCAAAAAATCCAAAATCGACTAATTAACCTAGGAAAATCAATAACTATTAATGAAACAAAAACCCAGAAGAAAACCCAGAAAAAAAAAAATTAAACAAAAATAAAAACAAAATCCCAGAAATAAGTTAAAAAAACGAGGAAAAAAAAACAAGAAATTAATTCACGAACTCAAAAAACAAAAACCCAGAATTAATTGATTAAAATCGATTAAAAACCAAATTAAAATCGATTAAGAAACTCAAACAATTCCAAAAACGATTAATTAAACCCAGAAAATAAATCAATTAAACCCAACAAAATCCGATTATTTTACCAAGAAAAATCGATTAATTAAACACAAACCTCGTGCATGTCTTCGTGGTGCATGTCTTTGTGGTTTATTGGTGATGGTGGAAATGATAGAGAAGGAGACGAGGAGATCGAAGGAGAAGAGGGAGAAGGAGACGAAGGAGAAGAGCAAGAGAACAGAGCAGTCGAATTGAAGAGAAAGAAGAGAGGGGAGAGCAGGAGAGAGAAAGAGGAGAGGGGAGAGCAAGAGAGAGCAGGAGAGAGAAAGAGCGGTTGAGAGGGAAATGAGGTAGGGTTTGGGGTTCATAAGGGGGGCGTTTTTTTTAATTGATTATTGCCACGGGTTCAAACCGGTGGCCTTTACCATTTATGCCACCGGTTCGGTTTGAACCGGTGGCAATGTGAATTAGCCTATCCCGCCCATTTTTTAAGCCACCGGTTTTCAAAAACCGGTGGCCATAGAGCGGTGCCTTTTTGTATTTTTCTACTAGTGTAATCAATTGGAATTGGTCCATTTAATTAGAAACATTTGTTGTTCATAACAACTTTTAGCATGTAAGTAGTTCTAGGTTTGAGAAGTAGCAACTTGTTTGCATTTCTTGGCCTATAACTTCTTAATTCAATCCTCATATTTTCTTAAACCTTTCCATTTGAGCCACTTAGAACACTTCTCTTAGGTTCAAAATGATACTTTGCTTAACTTCTTTAAGCACTTTTCATGATTTTGCTAAGTCTATTCAATCATTATTCATATTAGAGTTTAATCAACCATTTAACTTTATATGAAATGGATGAAGAATAATGTCATTTGATCAACTTTTGATCATAGAGATTTCCAATCACTTTCTTATATTCAAACATATTGAAGATAAGATATTTTATTGGACTTCTATACTTGTCTTTTAGAGAGTTTGTACCTCCCATCTCATTGTATCCTTTGAAACACTTTTCAAAATGAAGATGTGTTGGCATTTTACTCAAACATTTTGAATAAAACCAACCTTAGACATGTGACATGGATTTATAAAACTTGCCTTTTAGAACCATCTTAGCAAAGTTGGAATATAGGTTTATGGATTATCTTTTAACCTTTTGAGAACATTTCTCAACTTTATTTTCAATCGAGGAGATTATATATAATAATAAAATTAGAACGACATTTTACTTAAAAGTAAACACAAAATTTAATTATGTTTAATAAAAATTTAAAGTACCATAAGCGGTTTTAAAACTGGTAACTTTAAAGCATTTATTCAATTTTAATTGATCCCTATTGAATAAAATGATTCCAAGATCCTTTATTTGTGCAATGATTGACCAGACTTTGGCCCTACCATCAACCATTACATTTTCAAGGTGAGTAAACTCTTTACTGATTACAACTCTTTGTAATTCTTGGTTGAATAACTAACCATCACATGTTTAATTATTACCCTTAGCTTCAAGGTTCTAAACTCTTTAGGTAACCTTGTTGAGTATAACAAATCAAAATTGTAAAATTTGTTTTACCCCCACTCCCCTAAGATATAATATGACACCCTGCTTTGGCATGACCCATCATAAATATCGAAGGTTTCATCGGATTTTTGATTGGAAAAACAACCTCAATATTACTGGGACCTGGATTTATTATGTTGTGATTAAATAGTGAACTCTTGTGCATCATCACAAAACATCAATAAAATCTAACATGCATAAAATATTGCATGCATAAACAAGACATAGCATGACCCCTAATCCTAAGAAAACTAATAAAGTAAATGCTCCCACTTGAATCATCATGGATCTCATCCACCTTGCTACTTTGGGCCTTCACTTCATGGGCTTCTTGGATTAACTGCAACCTATAATTTTACTCTATTCTATCTACTACTTAATTAAAATGAAATAAAATTACAAAAATACTTTATCGGTACGTAGACCGTACTAAGATTACAAAAATACATCACGATGCGCAGATCATATTTAGCAATCTACTGGGCCATACTAGTCATTATATAGCAATAAACAACATCATATATTATAAAATTGCCACATAATAAATCACTCATCATGCTTTCCTAAACTACAACATCGAATGTTCACAATTAAGGAAACATGGCACCAAAATATCTCATATTTTTAATTAATGTAATTAGATAATATCATATATTATTCATGACCATCATTAAAATATCATATATTCTAAATTATTCATGAGATAGAATCAAATCATATTTTAATCTTAAAAGATAGATCATATTTATCCTCAAAGATTATCCTAACAAAGTTAGGAAATTCTATCCTAATTACTAGCCAATCACAAAATTTTAAATCAATTATATCCAATATTAATTATGGGATAATCACATTATTTTAAATCAATTATTATCCTTTTGAAATATGCTCAGAATATCCTAACAAATCTTATCCAAAATTAACCACTTTAATTATGGATAATTATCAAAATAACAACTTTAAATATGGATAATATCAAATATAACAACTTTTGAATATTTGATTTTATCCTAAAATAAAAGATTTTATCCAAATAAAACCGATTTTATCTTTCAAAATATAAGATCATATTTTCAAAATATTTTATCTCATCCAAAATAAATCATATTTATCTTGAAATATTTTTAAAATAAAATAATAATAACATTTTTTTTAAAACCGTGCACCAGCCACTGTGGTGTGGCCAGCCGAAGCCGGCCACAGTGGCCGTACACCGTGAGGTGTACGCTGCTCTGCAGCGGTGCACAGCAGCAACAGTAGTGTCGTGTAACTATTGCACGATGCTACTGTTGCTGCACCCCTGACCTGACCTGCTGCCCTGCCCCGCCCCCTCCCTCCAGACCACCTGCAGTGGCAGCCGCCGTGGCTGCGCCAACCAGCCGCGGTTGCCGCTGCTAAAAACCTTTTGTTTTTTTTATTTTTAATTTTTTTTAATTTAAATAAAGCAAAACATATTTTGTAAAATTAAATTAATGTTAATGTGGTCCAATTAATTTCAAAATTAAATCACATTCAATCTTGAAATTAGGGGTTCTTCATGAAATTAATCCCCAATTTAATTTAACACTTAAATTAAATAATTTGATCATGAAAATTCATAATTTAGCATGAAATCAAATAGATTTAATTCTTTAAAACACATAACTATTGAATTAAATCAAAACCAAAACACAATTTTTACAAATTAGGGTTTAGGGTTTCGAAATTTTCGGAAAATAGGGTGAGGGTTCGAAATTTTCAAGTGATCTAGGGCAAATTTCGGATCTCTTCATGGCTATTTTGAGCATTATTAAATCACATTTAATCAATTCTAAGAGTTAAATCACATTTAATATAATAATTGACCCATAATTAAATTATTCTCCCTCCTAATTGTATTAAAATTGTGGACTATCAAAGAATTATAGTTAATATGCGTAAATGCAATAGGCTAACTGATACCACTGTAGGGAATTATAGGTACTACGCAGCAGAATAAACATGAATCATATCCATAAAGCACCTAACCAAGGATATCATGCATAACACATAAAGTGTAAGAATTATACCTTTGAAGCGTGATTCCACTAGTAATCGAGCAAGAACAAGGGAGACAAAGAACCTCAAACATGATTCCTCTACTTGGTCCACAGGCACAGATTAAGACCTCCACTAATGCTAGTTAGTCGCGATCGAACTCTTTAATCGACTTTCTACGGAGAAGTATGAACAACGAACTAGTCACGAACCACCACGAACGCCACTAGGAGTGGTCGGCCGTAAGTCCAAAAGGAGGAGAGGGGTGCCGTGAGAGAGAGAGGGAGGTTAGGATTTTTTGGGTTTGTTGCCTTGATTCACAATTCACTGTAAGTTGATTGTGACTTCTCTTTTCAACCCTAGGCATGGATCTTATTTATAGATCACATCTCTAAATAAGAGTCCATGACAAAGCCCAATTCCTAATCCCAATCAAACTACACTAGCCCAATCCTATTCATGATTAGTTAAATGTTCATAAGGCCCATTAATGGGCCTCTTACTTGCTTAACCCAATACCTTTGTGTGTGACCTCATATGATCCATTTTAGCGGGCTTTGGACTATTTTACTAGCCCAAAGATCATCTCTCATAGTCTAGCAACAGATGATGACGCCCCAAGAGAATGTACTTATTATCTCCATAATAGTGATCCTTGATATATCTAGTAATTGTACTTATCGAAGACACAACTCCTTCAAAAACATCTATAGAAATCACACCCATATCTAATATGCTTGATGCAATTGTGAATGTTGTCGTTCACTTATTGCATAGGTTTAGTTATAACTACTTTGCTAATCTTAGCATCTTCATTACTAATCACTTTCATAATAAGATGATAAAATTTGAGAGTGTCATGGATTATATGTGATTTGTGATTTATTGTCCAAGTGATGGCTCCCACTCATTTTCATGATTGAGATCTTCAACTTGACAACCTACAATCATTAACGTTCAACAACGAACTTTCCATATAACATCTTCTTTATTATCGCCTTTAAGGCAACAATATTCTCATCATATATTTTATTAGACTTCTCGATGATGTTTTGCTTGGATTTCACACCAAACGACTCACAATGATTTGGGATACCCCAATCACTTGTGATCATGTAAATTTATTTTAAATTATCGCACATTACACATGGATGCACATCCATGTTACCATTTTCAAGCCACAACTCATTGCTAGCTCGTGCTTATAAACGACTTCCTTGTTAAGGATCTAATCCTTGTTAAGGTTTATTCTTGCAACATCAATTCTCAAATTGTATTTGTTTCCACAAGTGAAGAACTCACCCTGTTACTTATCTAAGTACTTTGGATGTTCTTGGCCACAATCTAACGATCTATTACATAGATTCAGGTTGATTGGTACTACATACATACTTCACATGCTCTAAGTAAGTAAGTCGTGCGATGATTACATATCATAGCGTACATGATGGATTAAGTTGCAGAGTAATTCTCAATCTTATTCCATCCATGTGACATTTTAGCTCATTCAGTTTCACCGAGTCTTGCTTAAATTGTTCGCTATGTGATACGGTTGAAAGTCTCTTACTAGAGTAATTCTTGTTTGACTTAGTATTT